TCCACAGAGTGGTTTCTCCATGTTTTCTACTGTTTCTGCTAAATGTAATGTGAGAGTTGGAGGTAGTTCTTGAAAATAAAAAGGGCATGTGTTTGCAAAAAACTGCATAGGTGGTGGTTCTCTCAAGAAATGAAAACAAAAAATATGTGAATGAAAACAAAAGAGAGTCACCACCACAAAATCTGAATAGCGCCCATGGACTAGTGTTTCTTAGCAGTGTGGCTTGGAAATACTACGTTTTTTGTTACCTCATTCGCTCTTGTGCTTTAAAGAAAGTGAGTAATGCAGAATGGCAGAAAGAAAGAGTGGTTTGATTGACTGTGAGTGTGTTGGGTTTGGAATTGTGGAACCTTGTGCTATGAATACTTCCACCACCTAAAAGGCATTTTCCCCATGTCCAAGACCCTAGCCAGTCATCTGAACCTGTGTCTAAGACCTCCGGATTAGTTAGTGGTGACACCTCATATGTGAACTCTAGCATTTAGAGGCTGCCTTCATGATGAAGAGACGTTAGGGATTGAGGGAATAAGCATGCGCATTTTTTCGCATCAAATTGTCCTGACCCCACTGGTCGAGAGTGAGCGATTCATTTTTCTCATATTCTCTATACTCTTTATCCCGGTGAGGACCTAGATTGCTCGGTCTTAATTCTGATATCTTGAGTTTTATGCATGAAGTGACTGTTTTGAATAAGTGGTTGGGTCAAGTCTATGTTGGTTGGTGAACAGAAGAGAGACTCTTCTTTTGCTCGACTTTACTGCATTCGAATGTCATCTGTGGTGGTTGTCTAGGTTGTTGTTGAGGTTGTCCATGTGTTAATGATCAAAACCCAGTATGATCCACCTGTTTTGTGCCGATATGGTATGCCCTAAAGCCTGCTTGATTGAAACGTTTTGAGCTTACCTTGTGTCTGACTTGGCCAAACAAACGGTTAAGTGTGGGGGAATTTGATAACAATGTAATTGCGCATGTTTGCACCCCTAGTAATTATCCGTTTGTGGGGCATAGTCGTGTACTTTTTGCCTATTTTACGTCGGGTTGTGCTACTTTGTCATATTTCAGGTCTCAGATGTCGAAGGAAAGGCTAAGCACGAGTTTCGGGGCGTTCGGAAGTCATTCAGACGAGCTGGAGCCAAAGCACGGGCGCGCCTAAATCAAAACACAGTCGTGTCCAACATTAGGCACGACCGTGTTTTCCCCAAAGGTGTGGCTGTGTTTTTAACACGTGGCAAAGGGCACGGGCGGGCAGCAGCAAAGCACGCCGTGCCCTCGACCGTGTTTTGCCCAGAATCGGGTTTTTGAGGCAGATTCGAGCCAAAACAAAGGGAATTGACTTTTCAGAGCAAAAGCAGAGTTTTAGAGAGAGAAAGGGCGAAGAACAAACCCTAGGAGCTATTTGGAGTGGATTTCTCACCATTGAAGCCCAGATTGCGTCCCCAGGAGTGAAGATTGACATACCAGAGCAGATTTTCCTCATCTTTATGAGTATGACTACTCTGATTTCTGTTTTCCTCTCTCTCTCTTTCTCTATGGAGTAGAACCCTTCTCTCACTTGGGTATGAAGAACCCTAGTTCCATGTGTTAGGGATTTGATTTTAATGACTTGGGATGATGATACTGTTTGGTTTTAATCGAATGATGCATGTTTCATTGAATTAATTGAAGTCTGATCAGCTTTTCTTGATTTCTGCTGCAACCTGAGATAGATAGAATCTGATTAGGTTGTTAGAGCCTCTTCATTCGGTAGTAGTAGATTGGCTATACGAGAGTTAGTCAGTCTACTGCTTTGTACTGGAATTCAATTCCAGTAGTGGAGTTCTGTGCTTATTGCTTCAGCTTTCTATCCCGGTGAAGACTACTCGTCTGCCGGGTAGTTAGACTGAGAGGGCTTGGTCAGCTTAAGAGATTCCAAGCTACTGTCGGATCTTCTAATCAACAGTAAATCAACCCAGGGTAATTACAACTGAGACCTAACTAAGGAGATAGGGGGACTCATTCTCGAGTGACTCTTCTTTTGCTTGAGAAAACCGAACCAATTCCTGCTTTCTTTCTGCTTTCAGTTAAGACCATAATCAATCGACTTAGTTTGCTAGATAATAGATAATCACGGAGTAGGCAGTAGATCTAGACCCCCGGTTGATATTTAGAACTTGCCACTTTACTGCATTCCCGGACTGCGATTACACTTAAGTCGCAGTTTGGTGTTGTGTTTTGGTTCGATCGAAAAGAAGAAATAGTGCAGATTTTTTGTTGGGGATTTCCCGGGAAAAATCGTCGTATTTTACTACGATTCTTTATGAGTGGGGTTGTGATAATCGGCTTTAATATATCTGATTCTCGAACTTTATGTGACTATCCCATGATATGTTTAAGCCGATTGGTGTTATTTTAGAGCTCGCTAACCCGGAAATGGTTGAAAAACCATTACTGCCTAGTGCCATGAGTTTGATATGTTACAGGTCGAGAAAGCACGAAAAAGGAGCGAGTGCACAAGCAATAAATCGGGCTCGAATTACTGGTGGACTACTCACTTGGGCTCAAGACCCAGCGGGATTGGTTTTTTGGTGAAGGAAGAGTGGCGGCCAGGGGGAATTATTTCTTTGGGCCGGGAACTTTTGGGAATTGGGCTGGCAACTAGGGAAGAATTGAGTTGGCGGCTTTTTTTTTTTTGTGGAGACTTGGCAGGGGGGAAGAAAAAAAAAAGGAAGCGGCGGAATTATTCTGGACAGAGGAAAAGAAATCTCGGTTGGGAAAGAAGGCAAGGGAGCAGCGCAGCAGAGCTTTGGGGACGAGCGGCGATTGGCGACTTGGCGAGTCAATTCTCCAAAGGCGGTTTGAGCTTATTTCAACGAGAGCGATTATTTTGGTTGGATTTTCTAGACCAAACTAGTTGTTTATTGTTGATTTAGAACATGATGAACAAAACCCTATTGTTTTATCTCGGTTTCATCATGAACTAAACCCCGATTTCTGGGGGAAACACCATAGGATGTAGCTATTTCTAGAATTGATGGATTGATTCGTATTTCTTTTCTTCCAATCTCTATTGCATGAAATTGCTTAATGCTTTGTGTTGACTGGCCACCAGTACAATGATTTGTAGTTAATTAGGTTATTAGCGACAGTGAAACGCTAATGACTCAACATATTTCATGTGACATAGTAACTTTTCGAAGCGACAGTGGATTAAATAAGTTGTTATGCGGTCTTAAATGGGATATCGTTCTTCGGGCTAAATAGATAATTCATTGAGCTACGACAGTAGGATTTGAATTAATTGTTTAGTACGTAGTAATTCACGACAGGGATAGCTAGCACATTCGTGATATCCTGGCTATGGAGAGTTGGATTAAATTGATTGGAATATGTGAATTAATCTGGATAGGGTAGGTAGTGAGTTTCGATGTTTCTCCCAGAGCTTCTCCCATTGAATTTCTCCCGACAAGTTTACTTTGCTTAATTAGTTTTATTATTTTGCTATTAGTTAATAATCTCATCAACCAAACCATTTTTCACCGATAGTTTGTTCCATAAAATTGATAGAATATAAGGTTGTACCAGTCCCTGAGAGACGATACGAGGACTTTCCGGTTTACTACGAGATAGGAAATTAGCATATACGCTTTTGCCCTATCAGCAGGGTGATACGAACCATACCTGTCATAACCCGAGTCACCCCCTGGTTGGTTCTGGTAGAACAGTGATCCTCTTCCTCGCCCAAAACTACCAGTGGCACCTCGACCGGCGGACCTGTCACATACCCTGCCCCGTACGACCCTTGCCACATGTTCGGATCCATACTGGCCGATCTCACCAGTCGCGGCTCAAACCAGTTTGGTCCACCTCTGGTTTGGTCCGGTTCGGGTTCGCCCTGCATCATGTGACCCGACCCGATTCGCCCAAGTTCACCCCGACTCGCCCCGGTTCGGCTGGGATTGGTCAGGCCGCGATAGACCCGACCGGTCGACCATCCGCCTCGCCCCGGTCCGACCCAACCCGGCCCAACCCGCTCCTCCTGTCTCGGCCCAACTCGCGCGGCTCGGCCGACGGCCGGTTCCGAGACCAAGTAATTTTCGGCGCTAGCCGGGTCGGCACACGGTGCATTCTGGCCCACCAGGCTGAGCTCCTCCTCGAACCGCTCCGGGTCCATGTCCAGCCACCCCAACCATTTGGGCTCGTGATATGGGCCCGCTGCATCAAATCGGCCCATCGGCCCAAGTGGCCCACGCACAGTCTACTGGGCCACGCCGCCGTACCTGGGCATTTTGGCCTTGCCCTTGCGAGCCGCCCACTCCTGGGCCGTCGGTGTAGGTAGAAGCCCAGGCCCACCGTCGCGCCCTAGCTGACCGTGGCCCGCACGTTCAGTCGCGCCGGCCTGGTCGCCCTCGCCTACCGCGGCCGCCACCGCAGCCGTCTCCATCACCACGGCCGCCCGCCGCGACCAGCCCGCTCCTCTCCGCGCCGCCGCCCGCCGGCGGCTCCCCCGTCGCGCTCAGCCCACCCTCCCCTGCACCGCCGGCGTTGCTTTTCGGTGGGGGGTTTGGCGCGCCCCGCAGCGTCTCCAGGGTCGCCTGGACCTCATCGAACCTGCTCCAGATCCGCCGGGTTTCCTCCTCCCGCTCGGGCCTCTCTGCCGGCCTCTCCACGCGTTCCCTCTCGAACGCAACCACCAGGCGATCCATGGTGGCTCGGATCGTCTCGATCTCCGTCTCATCTTCCAGCTCCCCGTCCCGGGGACTAGGAACTCCCTGCCCGCCATCGCCGGAGGACGGCAGCCCCATCGTGACCGCGGCCACGGCCTGCTCCTGCGCCGCCTTGGCGGCCTTCTCAGCTGCTTGCATGGACTTCGTTGACACCATCTCGATCGTCGTTTTTCGTTTGCTCACGAACCCAAGAACCGGGCTCTGATACCAAATGATAGAGCTCCAGATTGAGCTCTATCAAGGGATTGGGGGTTTGGGATCAATTAGGGATTGATCCGGGAATTTGGGAATTGGAGGAAGGTGATTTAAGAGGAAATTGAGGAAAGAAGAAGGAAGGGGGAAAGGGGGCTGCCGATCGCCAGTTTTGAGAGGGAGAGGGAAAGGCTCGGCGGCCAGGGAAAGAGAAGAGAGAGAGTAGTTTTTAGGTTTAATCTTTTTTGCTTCCCTTTTCTTGGTAAAACAAGAGTTTAAATATTCAAACACAATTACCTACTAACTACCTCAACTTATAAATACCCAAATCATTCCCTAATAACAAAAATAAGCCCGAACAAAATAATTCAATCCGAATATAAAACCCAAATAAGCAAACCGTCTATCAAAATGCCATCGCCAATGTGCTTTAGGTTCTGTTTGTTTCAAACAGTAGCTGATCAATAGAAGTTGACTATTTTATGTTCAGTAGGAGAAGTTTTAGCACGTTTGTTTGAGAGTTGAGAAGTAACCTTGAGAAGTTAAAAAAACAAAAAGATTTGAAGTTCGCTACTGAAGTTCGGGAGGTGACTAGTAGTTGAAACAAAAGGAGCCTGAAAGATTCAGGAGCTATTGGGAATTTCAACCCAAGTCACCCCATGAAATTCATTGCTATTTTGGTTGCAGTTCATAGACGTGGGAACTATGGTTTCTCCAACAGTGTTTGCGCGGCGGAGCCTTTGCTACCTGCTCTACGACCAACCTGACGCAGCTCTACGTGATGGGATGCAAGCGCAATGCGTGTACCCAGACTGGTCGACGGCGTTCTACATGCAATCTGTGGCGCTGGCGAAGCTGAACATGCACAACGATGCAGCAGACATGTTAAACGAGGCATCTACTCTGGAGGAGAAGAGACTACGCAAAGCATCTTGAGATATGGTAAATGATCATAGAATCGTATAAATTACATTTTGGTTTAGGATGGATTGAAGATTTTGGGTCTCTGGACCTGTGGTTGGGTAACTCTGTTGTTTATTGGTTTGTTGTAGCCTTGTAATGGAGGGGTTGTTCAAAGTGTGTGTGTATAGAAGGCAAATGTGTTTATTTTTGAGAGGGAAGAGGAGGAAGGGATTTTCAATGTTCAGAATTGTAAAATATAGAGTGGGAGAGGGGAAGGACAAATAATATGATTCTTGGGTTTAGACTTGATGTTCTTCATTTTTCTTGTTCAACAAGTCATGAAATAAATCTCTTGTTCTTTCTAAAGAACCCTTTCTAATTAATTAATTAATAGGGACCCTGGTCAATGGAAACTTCTTCAAGGGATCAGCTACCAACTTCTTCAAGTATGTTTTATACATAGATTGCGTAGAGCCTACTACATCCTCCATAAACAGGGGAAAGGCAAGAACAAGAACCTCTTTCTTTTACATGTACAAGTGTGTTAATAATACATTTTTTCAAAAGTAACAAAAAGACACGATGTTGCTCTCAATCAATCAAGAAACATAGAGCTCAGCTTTTCCATCGATGAACAGACTCATGAACTCTTCCCCATCCACAGTTTCTTTCTCAATGAGCAGCTGAGCCAGCTTGTGCAGGATGTCGATGTGTGTCGTCATGATCTCCTTGGCCCTCGCATATGCTGTCTCCACCAGCTCCCTCACCTCTGCATCCACCACGTCTGCAGTGGCCATTGAGTAGTCTTTCTGTGACGCCATCTGCAACATCGAACATCGTGGTTAGGAGGCGCAAAGTGCGAAATCATAATCAAGTTTCACAGTTTTTGGTTACCCAAGACTCAACTATTTTGGTTCTAATTTTGCATTTACAAATAGTTGTTAGTTTAATGTGGTTAAACGAACTTCCTTCTACGTCCTCGGCTACTAATCATTAGCAAGCAGAGAAGTTATGAATATGAACAAACAAAGATGATGCTGCTGCAAATCTATCCAGCCAGCCAGCCAACCAACCAACCAACCTGTTGGCCTAAGAAGGGGTTTCCACCACCTCCGCCAATTGCCACTTGCCCGATTTTCTTACTGAACCCGAATCTCTCAACCATCTGCCTTGCCACCCTCGATACTTGCATGAAGTCGTTCGATGCTCCCGTGGTCACATTCTCTGTTCCAAAAATAACCTCTTCCGCAACTCTAGAATCACAAATGAAGTACTACAGATCGTCAGCATACCAACTCGAGCACAATAGAACTCAACTCACAAAGATCTAATGAAATGCTACCTTCCTCCAAGTGCCACAGCCATCTGATTCTCCAAATAGCTTCTGCTGTATAGTCCAGATTCCAGACGCTCCTCACTTGGAGCGAAGAATGTAAGCCCGCCAGCCTGTCCACGTGGTATGATCGAGATCTTGGCCACTGGATCATACTCGGGCATTAATGCACCGACTAAGGCATGCCCAGCCTCTGTAAAACGAAAGCTTAATGTAAGCATAACAGTTTGCCAAACTAGCAAGGGAAATTTTGATGATCTGAGTGTTCTTGAATCCCATTTTTTACCATGATAGGCGACTAATTTCTTCTTCTCTTCCGATACCACTGCATTTTTCTTCTCCGGTCCAGCAATAATCCTCTCCAAAGCATCGGATATCTCGTCTTTGCTTATTTCCTTGAGATCACGCCTCGCTGCAAGGATGGCTGCCTCATTCATTAGATTCTGCAGATCAGCACCAGTGAAACCAGGTGTTCGCCGTGCCATCTTCTCAAAGTCCACATCTTTAGCAAGTGCTTTCCCCCTTGAATGCACCTGCAATACCGTTGTCAATTGCATATGAAATCATGTGTCCAAGAAGTAAGCTTAAGAAATCAGTGACATGAAAATTCACCAATAGATAGGAGCAATCATGCTAAAAATGAATGAAATTCACCATTGGCAATGCATACCAAACCGTATGTCCTCAAAGCAATGTAAATTCAACCTATGAATGCATTCATCTTCCTATCCTCTAATCCTTTTCCGTTAGAATCAAGTTAAGTCTAAATTCACCATTGCCAATGCATACCAAACCTTATGTCATCAAAGCAATGAAATTCAACCTACGAATGCAATCATCTTCCTATCCTCCAATCCATTTTCCTTAAAAATCAAGTCAAATTCACAGAATGCCGAAACTAACCTGAAGAATCTTCACTCTACCAGCAACATCAGGCCTATCAACAGTCACCTGTCGATCAAACCTTCCCGGCCTCAACAACGCCGAATCAAGAACATCGGGCCTATTCGTAGCAGCCAAAACAATCACACCCGAATTCCCTGAAAACCCATCCATCTCAGTAAGCAACTGATTAATAGTTTGCTCTCTTTCATCATTTCCACCACCCATTCCTGCTCCTCTCTGCCTTCCCACAGCATCAATCTCGTCAATAAACACAATGCAAGGAGCTTTCGCCTTCGCCTTCTCGAACAAATCCCTCACTCTAGAAGCTCCAACTCCGACGAACAGCTCAACGAACTCTGAAGCGGCGCAGGAGAAGAACGGAGTTCCAGCTTCTCCGGCGACTGCTCTGGCCAGGAGTGTTTTACCGGTACCGGGAGGCCCGACTAAGAGACACCCTTTGGGAATCTTCGCCCCTAGAGCAGTGTACTTATCAGGGTTCTTGAGGAAATCCACGACTTCTTGGAGCTCCAATTTGGCCTGATCGGCGCCAGCCACGTCAGCGAACGTGACTCCTGTTTCGGGAACTTCCTGGAACTTGGACTTCGATCGCCCGAAGTCCATCGGGCCGCCCAACCCGCCGGGTCCGCCCGGTCCGCCTTGGGACCGGCGGAAGAGGAAGAACAATCCAGCGAAGGCGATAAAAGGGAAGAGGAGATTGCCGATGAAACTGAAGAGTCCGTTGCCGGAATCACCCTCGGAGACGGAAATATCGACGCCGTTCATCGCTAAGATGTCGATTAGGTCAGGATCGGCTGGGACGGTGACGGCGGCCCGCCGGCCGTCGACGGCGGTCAGCTGGAGGGTGGACCCGTCTTTGCTGAACCGAACCCGCTCCACTTTCCCCTTCTTCACCGCGTTCAGAAACTCGCTGTATCGCCATTGGGTTCCCTCGGGAAGGTCGGAGGCGACGGATTGAGATTGCGGCTTCGGAGCAGTAAGAAGCAGGTTTTGGGCAAAGGGGGAATTCGGAGAAGAGGGTTGTTTACTTGGTTGGGCTTCGATTACCTGATTGGTCGGTGGTGGAGGAGAGTCGACAGCGAAAGCTTGAGGGGTTAGCGCAGACGAGAAGAGGAGAGCAGCGAGTGTAGCTCGGGAAGGGAGGGATTTGAAGGAATCGGAATTGGCGAAGATGGCGCGGCAAGGTCGAGATTTTGATGGCAACTGGAGTGGGGATTTGGCGGTTTTGGGAGTTGGCGGAGAAATTAGGATGTGGGTTTTGCCGAAGAAGGTGGAAGAGAGTAAAGGGTTGGTCGACGCCATTGTTGAGCTTCGAGTAGAGTGGGGTTTCTTCGAGCTTTCTTCCCCTCCGTATATATATTATCCTCTTTAGACCGCAAATCTCTTCGAATTTCTTTGGATTTTTGCTGGCGTGGACGCAGGGGAAACAAGGAATTAACTACTAGTCCTAAACGAGAATTGCAGTCAAGCTTTGATTTTTCTGTGACTAAAGAGAAGTTTTGGAGATTAAACACGAGCCATGAAAATGGGAGTTTTACGTGTAACCTTCGTTGTCCAGTCGTTTCGTCGTCTCCTTTCTTCCTACCGCCGGCGCTCTCGGCATTTCACCGACAACATATCGGTCCAAGAACCAACAGTAACAATGGGCCCACGAGGCCGGTTATTCGCTAGTGAGAGCTCCCTAGCCCATTGATTAAGTAGAAGGCCCATTTAATTGGAAAACGTGAGTTGCTTTATTTTTCTCAAGAAATCAGCCCAAGAGCCCAAACCCAATGAGCTTTACGTTCAAATGACTTCGTTTCACCCTCCTCCTTCCTCCTTTTCTTTAATCGTCAAAGTCGCAGCCCGACGCTACGACGGCGATTTCTTTCGACTGAAGCCCCCGCCGTCCACCGCCTCGGAAAACTGGAATCTCCGCCGCGAGTCTAAAGCGAAGAAATTTTCTCCTAAATTACTGTGAGTACGTTTCTTTCGTTGAAGCTCAGTGGCCAATTCGCTACTCATCCTCATCCTGCAATTTTTCGGATGAGTGACTGCTGTTAGTTGCTTTTGCACCGTTAGGGTTTTCTTGTTTGTGGTCATGAGATGATTTATAGATAATGGCGGCTGGATAATTAGTATAGTGTGATGCGTTTTGGTCGCAAAATGGTATCTTTATACTGAAGGCTGAAGTTGGTTTGGTTTGAACTTTCCAGCCGGAGAACTGGGTGAAGCCTGCCATGGCTGGACCAGCATTATCATCATCAAAAGCATTATGTATTAATGAGCTTCTTGTGCCTCACCATCTACTGGAAGAGGTTCTGGTTCGGATTCCTTTGAGGGATGTGTTTCGATGTATGTCTGTTTGCAAGCTCTGGCTCGCCTGTATTCAAGACAGTCCATATTTCATAACACGGTTCATTCGCCGAAGGATCGAGACAGAAGAGGCATACAGTCAGCACCTGCTGTACAAGCAGTGTCTTTCCACAGGATTTCATCTGGTTGCAACACCCATCTACTGCAACGTCGTCGATGATGGTTCAGACTTATCTCTGAATTTCCTCCCACTCCTAGCCGAGGAGGGTGATAATGGCTGGTTGCGGGGATCATCCAATGGCTTGCTCTTATGCTCCTCTTTCGGAAGAAGGCCTTGCATATATTACATTTGTAACCCGCTCACCAAGCAGTGGCTTACCCTTCCGCCGTCCCCTTATGGTCACCAAGACAGGTTTCGTGTCGGCCTTGTCTGTGAACCATTCTACCACGTCAAAGATGAGGCCGGCAACTTGATCTCTTTGAACGATAAAGTTGGTTACAAGGTGGTACGTTGGGGATGCATTACTGCTGAGTATGGGGCTGACATTGATGGAGATTATGGTGACGTGATACATTTCGAGATATTCTCATCAGACACAGCATGCTGGACTACATATAAGTCACGTTTTCGAGAGAGAGATTTTCCCAAGGCTATGTCAGGATCTCCGATCTTCGTTTCCCACGATAGGATGATCTATTGGTTGCTTGAAGGTTCTGAAATCTTGGTTTTCAATCCCTACAGTGAGGAGCCTTTTCATCTGAGCCGCCTTGCTCTTCCTTCAAATGCATTGTTGGCCCCTTTTAAGGGGTTTAACGAATGCCAAGGCTCACTCTGGGTAGGACAAAGTTTGGGAGCACAAGTGAGAGTTTACATGCTAGTAGATGGTGAATGGTGTCTTAGGCATGATGTTAACTTCCTCGCCGAGATGCATTGGAGCTCGAGTTCTGTGAAGGACGTCTTAAGGCTTCGTCCGGACATGTTCAACTTCCATGCTATGCATCCCAGTGATCCCACGGTGGGGTATTTGTCTGCGAGCAACCGTGATTCCAATATCATATTCCTGGAGTGCGACTTTGCAGGCAGAACACTGAAAGTGGTAGCCGGGGATCTGGATGGTAATGAGCAGTGTGACAATTTGTTGTATGTGCTGCCATTTTCTTTTCCACTTTGGCCAACCCCTCTTCCTGCTCTCCCTATTGCTTAAGTAGGTTATGGTATGCCCTTAATAGTTGTGTTTGTAGTCGATGGTGAATTGTATATTTGGTTGGATGTATTGGTAAATGGTTATTTGTATTTTAGTGCGTTTGGAATCTGATAAAACGCATGAAAATATGATGTAAACAGAAAACCAGTGTGTATCGAATTTCTTATCTACTTTTTTACTTATATAGATTAGTTTAGGTTTTCATTAGTGTACCAACTTCTAAAACTAGTATTCTTACTATCAATCGATAGATGTTTTGAAATAATATTGTCCACAATGAAATACGCGGAGAACATATTTCAGAAATTCTACTTATGATTTCTAGGGTTACGATGGATGCCTCGCCATCGGCCGGCCCGGCTGGCGAGGGCTCCTCCTCTTGGGCTCAGCTATTTGCTGTAGTGCTGGAGAATCGACTTCAGTATTGTCCTTCGATCAAATTTCAGGATGGTTTCCGTCTTCCGAAGGAGGTGAAGGGGCAGGGAGCAGAGCGGTGGAAGAATTCACTTATCGGGCAGTTCGTAGGGTCTCGCTCGAAGATACCAGAGCTTCAATCTTGGGCAAACGCTCTTTGGGGGCGAGATGGCGTCGTCGAAGTTCGGGGCGAAGCTCTTGGTGTTTCAATTTCCTTCTTTTGCTATTGGGTTTTCCAGTCGGGTCCTTGGCACTATCGAGGTAATCCTATTTTATTTCGAAAATGGAACCGGGAATTCAGCTTGTGGTACCTAAGGTGGAAAAGCTGCCAATTTGGGTTAGAATTTGGGGTCTTTCATTTGAATACTTGGCTTTGGAAGGGTTGGAATGGGTTGCAAGTATGATTGATAAGCCACTCTAGATGGATCACAAGACTAGGGTAGGTGGGCAGCTGGGTTTTGCGCGTGCTTGTATGGAACTTGGAGCTGATTACACGTTCCCGACGTCTATTCGTATATATCTAGATGATGATCCTCCGATTGACATTGGGAATACAACAATCTTCCTCAGGTTTGTTCGAAGTGCAATGTGTTTGGACACAATTGTGATGTTGGTCCTAAACGTGTTTGGGTACAGAAGAAGAAGAAGAATGAGAAGATTGAGGTATATGTTGAGGTTCAAAAGGAGGGGGACAGGGTAGCTGAGGCTGAGCCGGTGGAAGAAATCCTAAGGAGTTGTAGGATAGTATTATGCAGAGCGTGTTTGCAATTCTGGAGGAAGAGATTGCTACAAAGCCTGTTTAGGAAGTGAGTGCTTCTTTGGCCACTGTGGAAGAGACTGTCACCCCTTTACCAATTGGGGAGTTCGAGTAAGTTTTGCAGAGGTGGTGAAAGGTTCATCAGCTATAGCTGGGAGCCCTGTCACATCTGTGCAACAGTCCGAGGACTTTAAATCACCTTCTCGGGAAGGGAGTTTAAGGCTTCGGATCACTGCTCGGGCTGCAGTTCCTACAGGCTCTCGCTTTGTTGTTCTGGATAAGGAGAATAAGGTCTCTAGTGTTGCAAGTAAGGGTAAGAAGATTTGGATAGATCCCTCTGAGATTAAGAAGAAAGGTTGAAAAGGTGGAGGAAGGGGTCGAAGTCGTAAATGAGAATCTTATCATGGAATACTAGAGGTTTTGTAGATGATAGTAAGTACAATACATTATTTAATAAAATAAACAAGTATACTATTGACATAGTAGCAGTTTTAAAGCCTCGGGTAAAGCTATCTGATGAGAAGAAGATGCTACAAAAGAGATTTGGGAGTTGGCAGCAGAAGATCTTCTATAATGAGAATGGTTTGGGAAAGTTGTGGTTGGTATGGAGAATGGATATTAAGGTGCAAGTTTTGGGATTTTCGGAGCAGTTTGTGCATGTTATGGTGGGGGATGCAGTTTCGTTCTTTGCCACTTTCATTTATGCCTCAAACCTTGAAGGTAGAAGAAGAGAGATGTATGGAGAGATTGCAGGGCTAAAGGTGCATAACAGACCATGGATTTTAATGGGCGATTTAAATGCAATCAGGAATCAGAGTGAGGGGTCAAATAATCCAGCACAATCTGCAAGTATGGCTGACTTGAATGAGTGTCTTACAGATATTGAAGTTGAGGAGCATAAGTCCACTGGTTCTTGGTTTACATGGCTGAATAGACAAGCAAACAATCCAATTGCCAGAAGATTGGATATTGCGTTTGTAAATTTGACATGGCTAGATGAGTTTAAGGAGAGCACAGTCCATATGCAAAAACCTGGGGTCTCGGATCATTGTCCAGTTCTGGTTCAAACAGAGGTGCCTCTAAAATCACTGCACAAACCTTTTAAGTTCTTCAATTTCTAGTTGGAGCATCCTAAATTTGGGGAGTTGTTACAAGAGGCTTGGTCTCAACAAGTATGAGGCACACCTATGGCAAGAGTATATAAAAAGTTGTTAAAGGGATTGCTCAAGGCGCTTAATAGAGAAGAATTCTCATATCTAAAGCAGAGAGTTAAGGATAAGGAACGTGAGTTGGAGGATATACAGGAATTAACTTTAGCTTATCCTTCTCATGATTTGGCTGGGTTGGAAGTGCAATTAGCGCGAGAACTGCATACCCTAGTGAAGGCTGAAGAATCGTTCTTGAGACAAAAGTCAAGAGAAATTTGGTTGAAAGGGGGTGACTCAAATACTAATTACTTCCATAGGTCTGTGAGAACAAGGCAGAAGAGGAACACTATCACAAGTCTTGTTGCTGATAATGGAGATAGGGTAACCAAGGTTGAGGATATGTGTGAGGTGGCAGTGAGCTTTTACAAGAAGTTGTTGGGTCAGCTTAATGCTAATGTTAAGGGTGACACTTTTGAATTCTTTAAGTCTATTCTAAGGCAGATAGTTACCCACACGCAGACTGCTTCATTATGTGCTCCTATCACAAAATTTAAAGTCAAAGAAGCTATGTTTGGTATGAAGGGGGATAAAAGTCCTGGACTAGATGGATATAATGCTTGTTTCTTTCAGTATGCTTGGGAGACTGTTGGTGCTGATATAGTTGTGGCAGTGCAATACTGCTTTGCTACAAAGAAGATACCTAAGGAGGTAAACTCAACTATACTTGCTCTAATACCAAAGATTCCAAATTTTGAGGAAATGAAAAGCTTTAGGCCTATTACGTGTTGTAATACTATCTATAAATGTCTGTCGAAAATAGTTGCTAAGAGGTTTATTGCCCAGTTGCCCTTATTGATTAGCAAGAATCAGACTGCATTTGTTAGAGGGAGGCTGATTGGTGAGAATGTCTTGTTAGCTCATGAATTGGTTTCAAAGTATGCTAGCAAGAATGTTTCATATAGATCAGCTCTTAAAATTGATCTAATGAAAGCATTTGATTATGTAAACTGGCATTTTCTGTTCAATGTGCTTGAAGCTATGGGGATTCCAGTTGATTTTATTGATGGGATCAAAATGTGTGTTACTGAGCCTTTGTTGAGTATATCTTTTAATGAGGGGTTGACAGGATATTTTCCTTATAAGCAAGGGCTGAGACAGGGGGACCCTGTGTCTCCATACTTATTTATTGTTGCAATGGAGGTTTTTACCTGTCTTTTGGATAGAGAAGCAGAGAGGGGCTACTTCCCTTACCATTCAATGTGCAAAAAGATTAGATTAACTCATTTCTGTTTTGTGGATGACCTCCTAGTGTTCTCGGATGGTTCCAAATGTGGTTTGCAGAGTGTGCAGAATGTGTTAGATGAGTTCTACTATTTATCTGGTTTGAAGTCCAACCCAAGTAAATGTGAGATGTTTTTTTGGAGGAATGGAAAAGGTTGATATGGTTGTTAGGGCCATTCGATTTGGGTATCAGCTGGGCAATTTCCCTGTTCGTTACCTAGGTGTACCATTGATTGCGGGCAAGTTGACAGTGGCTGCAAGTAAGCCACTGATTGATAGGCTTACTGCTCGGATAAAAGGATGGAAAGCAAAGTCTCTCACGTATGCATGGAAGGTTGAATTGGTGAGCTCTGTGCTGTATAGTATAACTCAGTACTGGATGAGTGTTTTCACTCTTTCTAAGTATGTTCTTAGAGAGATTGAAAGGATTTGCAGTAATTTTTTGTGGGCTGTGGGTGATGGACAGAGGCTTAACGCAAAGATAGCCTGGAAGTATATAACATATCCTAAGAAAGAGGGTGGATTAGGATTGAGAGATATGTTTGCTTGGAACAATGCTTGTATTTGTCGCCAAATATGGGCAATTATGTTGCAGCAAGGATCACTCTGGTTGGCTTGGATTTTGACATACAAGCTGAAAGGGAGGAGTTTCTGGGAGACAAATATTGATGGTTCTTAGAACTGGAAGAGGCTGTTGAAGCTGTGAGGTAAACTTCCTCACCTTTTCAGTTTGATTGATGGCAAAATTTATTGGAATAACTCTGTTATGGCAAGGTATTCTGTGAAATTGGTCTGGGAGTCACTAAGACCTAAATTAAGCTAAGTTCCATGGGCTGGTTTGGTCTGGTTGCCTCCTTCTATTCCCATAAATAGATTCCTGGTCTGGCTTATCATTAAGGATAGGATCCAGAATAAGGATAAAATGAAGAAATGGGGATATGCAACCACTGATATATGTTGTTTTTGTAATCAGTTGCCAGAAAGCAGAGATCATCTATTCTCATAGTGTGAGTTTTTTTAGAAAGCTCTTTCATGATTTGTTTGGGGGGGGGGGGTTCTGGATTCTTGCCAAGGGACTGGAATGATGGTTTGTAGTGGGCAACTCAAAACTTTGGGAAGAAATGGGTGGATGCAGGACATGGGAGAATCATATGGCATTCCATGATTAGTCATGTATGGAGAGAGAGATGCACAAGAGTCTTTAAAGGGAAGAGTAGAAGTGTGGAAGGTTTGCAAAAGGTGATTCAAAGTGAGATTCTGGTGCAGGAAGAAGAAGCTATAAAATTCTGGATCCTTGAAAATGCTACTTTGTGATTCGGATAGTTTTTACCCGAGGTGCTATAGTTAGTTATAGCTTTGTTTTAGTTGAGTTTTTCTGCTGTATTGTCCAGATGATAGGGCTGCCTAGCTGGAAAGGATTTTTCCAGCACCCCCTTTTCTTTGATGAAATGGAAAGACTCTAATTCATTAAAAAAAAAGAACATATTGCAATGTCAAATGAGTAATAATGCTATAAATGAATTTTCAAT